CTTCATGACCCCAATACTCTACTTATATGTTAATAATAAATACACAATATCTCAAAAACTGTTTGTGATAATGTCTAATATTTTTGAAGAGCTCTTTTAACGGTATTTCCAATGATCTAATTGTAAATACTGTTCCAATAACAAAAAAAAATATGCCTATATATTGGAAAGGCTGCATTTGTTTTTGTGGTGTCTACGTCAAATTTTATTTAAATCCTTACAGTTTTTATTTTATTTTATTATCTTGAACGGTATCGAAGAAAAATGAGGTGGTGATCACTTTTCACGTGACCAACCTGCCCTCAATGATCTAAAAACCTTAAAGAATCATCCTAATCAAGCCTAATCGGCCTCAAATTATGCAATGATTAAACTCTGCAATATTTATGATAGAAAGCATCTAAAATATTTAATTTTAATTGTCATGTTGTGTCGAATAGTTTCTAGGTATAAGAAATTAAATACGTTTTAAATTGGGTTCTGAATATGCTCATATAGCAGCTTACCTCCTTATTATGTTTATGTACATGTTGTTAAATATGTCTTTATACTCGCAATAGTCTCCTTCAAACTTTAAAATTGGCTCGATTTTCATATGTATGTAAACTAGGGTCGAGGATGATTTCAATATTGTGCTGTCTCCATTTCCTTAGAAATTTATTCCCATATTCCATAGTTAATGTTCATGGTTTACTTCCTATTCCTCACTTTCTTTAATACTGATAACAAACGCTGAACGCTTTCCAAAATGTGTTTCACAATTCCCCACATTAATAACTGACGAAACTTTAGACTGAGTCGGACTTTTGATCTATATAAATACGTATTTTGTGGAATTAAAAAGGCATGAAAACAAAATAATGTTAAAAAGTTTGGGTGTATTGTTTGAATACAGCTTAATAAAGTTGAAACACGTAATTTTCAACCACTTTTCCTCTTTAAAATTACATATTTTTACATCTCTGGCTTTATTAAAACATCAATTATACGTTCATTAAATAAAGAGTTTATTCAATTAATTTTTTAATTCGTTCTCAGGCTGCGAAATATCTAATAAACGAGAAAATAAACTAAAACTGTGCTACAAATAAATAGCTCCAGGCAATATCCTAAATAAAGTTAATTTCAATTTGTCTGTAATAAAACTTTTCAAGTCACTTTCATAGAGTAATAACTTTGTTACCAAGACCTTTTTGCTTCTACCCGATTTAGTTGTGAGGGAACGGCATTCGATATTGTCCTCAATTTTTCATAATTATCAGTAGTGTACTACAGTTTGATTTGTTCCATCTGTTATACCTTAATTTTAACCATTAATTTACAGCATTATTGGTATTGAGAACAGTAGTAAGTAGGAAAATTTGACTGTCATATTTTATTATATTATTTACTTAATCACCAATAATTTCACTGATTAGACCAACCCATCGAATTAATAAAATTTATTAGCCTAATTAATTTAATTTACCTTCTTTATAAATATATTTTGTCAAGTCCTTCAGTGACGAATTTATGATTTCCTTTTCAACAGAAGTTCTTTATTCATTAAATTCTAGCCACTTTTTTATTAGAGCCAATTAAATATATCCATTTCGTATAATTCTTACAGATAAGCAGCCTTGGCATTTTTTCGTTTTTTTCTTCCACTATAAAATGTACAATTCCAATGCTACATGGCTTTCTAAGAATATAATAACACCAGTTTGCCCTTAACCCTTAAATAACGATGCTACAGACACCGATGTATATATCCATGATGGGTCCCTCGAGAATCCCGCGTAATTAATTAGTTTGGGTATTGTGTTAGACTTAGATTTAAAAAATGTTACTTAAAATATTCATATTCATATAGAAAAAATATTGACCAATGAAAGAAGAAACTGCTAGAATTTGAAGAATAAAAATATGAAATTAGAATATATTTATGTATCTCAAAAAAATCATTCAAATAATTTGTCCATTAGCTAGATCAGAGCTAATCGCAACAGAAATGAACGACGTTTTTCCAACCAGGAATCTCGTTATTTTACACAACAAAACTATTCAAAACACAAAATTATATTTAATCTGCATGGCCAAGCTGTTCTTCTGCTGCATGAATATTTTCTGATTAGTTTGTCTGAACTATTGACTCCTTTATTCTTATTAGAATCTAAAATCACAAATGGTTTATGTTGTTTGTATGGACAAACTACACAATTGTTAAATCTTTTGTAAAGGCAAACATGGATGATAGTGTAGACCTAGGAAAAATTGTTAGTTGAGGTGGTGTATCTGGTTTATTTTTACGAACCGTATCAAATAGGACAAAAAAAATTCTGTAATAATAATTCCTCGCCAACATTTGATACAACTCGAAAACTTTATTGCATTCTGAATCACCACCAAAAGGTTTGCCAGTATAGACTTGAAGGTTGCATATATGTAACATTTTAAGAACAGCTACTATCCAAATTTAAATGTTGTATATGTTTATATTTTGCCAGGGTTCGATTTTATACAGGGTGTTTCTAAAATAGGGTTCCAAACTTCTGCTGCGTTTATAACTCATTAAAATAAGTGAAAAAGTTTCTATTAACATGTGCCCTAAAACGCACCCTTAGAAAGTTATATGCCCTTAAAAGGGCTCAAACAAAACTGTTTTTTTTTTTCTGTTATTGACAAAACGGTCGCAAATAAATAGAAACAAATGTATGCGTCTTACATAACTTTTTACGTTAAATAACATGGGCTACTCCGTTTTCCGATATGTAAATCATATGCGTCCCATTTAGGTTGGTGAAGGGGGTTTTCGCCCCGTAATTTTTTTTATTTCAATTTTTTTACAATTTTCTCTACAGATTTATAAAATCTTAACAATTTTACGTAAAAATATTATCTTTGTCCAACCTGTTTCGAGGTAACAGGGCAGTAAAAAATTATCTACGTATGGAGGTATCAACAGTCCACACTTCTCGGGTAGATTCCTTCCTACATCTTAGTGCACCAGCTTTTATAATGATTCCTATGAAACTATCTAATTCAGCTTTATCAGGTATATCTATTTGTTGGATTCTTTTCATTCCAGGCTTCTAAATAATTGTAAGCTTCTTGGTTAATACAATGACATAAATAATATATTTCATTTCCACAGTAAAAAATAAATTAAAACATTTACTGGAATATTTGCTGTACTAAATGGGATTCACATTTATATTTTTTGGCTTCTTGCTTCTGGAAAATGACTGACTAATTCATTCTAAACCGGATTTTTAACTATGTTTTGGACCACTAGAGTGCTGTTTAATAATTCCAGCTTATGGGGTTATTCAACAAACTGTTCTTCGTTCTGAATGTCGATATGTTGTCTTCTGTTCCAGAAATATTTTCTGTGATAAAACCAAGATGTCCCTCATTATCTGAGGTTTCATAGTTTCATACACAATTTTAGTAACCGAATTGTCTAAATCTGTATTTGCAGCTATATCTTGAAGTTCCTTTTATGTTAATAGTCTAGTTTTGTTCCAATGATTTAACTTTTCCACAATTGAAGCCAATGACTACTCCATTCTGTCGTAAAGTTTTTTTTTCAATTGTAGTAGTACATAATGTATTAAATAATAAATTTGCCATTTATTTTTTGTCAACTACAGGGTAATTGCCAACATTAATTTCTTTTATTTCAGAAAATGAAGCTTTTCCATTTATAAATATGTTGACTGTATTTTTTATTTTGAATTATTTTTGTTCTGTAGTATTCGGTTTTAAATTATTTTTTTTTTAATTAAATAGGTACATTCTCTATTTGTCTAAAATTTGTTGTATATTATCTGGATTCAATAATGTTTTTTCATTGAGTTTTTGTTCTGTGGACTCTAATTTCATCAGTCTGTTTGCAATCCACAGATTTCGTTTTTTCTGAAAAAAACTTGTTAATTTTGTAGATGATTCATACAACTCATTCCAAATAGTATATCTGAACTTATCAACCACTTTGTTTCATCTATTGTATAGGTAACTTAATAATTTTAGATGTTATATTTGAAGAAGATGAAATATCCATATTAACAATCACGAGGAAATGGTCAGTCACATCTATTTTAACAATAGTCAAAGATTTACAGTTATTCTTTACACAACCTGTATAAAAAACATGCTCTTTTATACCCTAATTATAGAAATTTATTAATGATAACAGTACTATGATAATATATTATGACATCCATTAGAATAGTCAAATAAGTACAGAATTAATGTCAGTATTAATGCCTGCCACAAAAAAAAATAACTATTTTCATTTACAGAAATTATGTTATTTAGCAAGTCACTTTTTAATTGTATATTAAAATGGAAGAAGATGATTTGCTGACACTGCTTGAAAAAATCCCCATTTGACAGATTTGATAAATCAAAGATGTTGTTTATGAACGATAATTCTCAAGACTATTTCAGTCACTCAATTCATTCATTTTAAGACCATTTTAGTTTGTTCCGGCACTATTTGGATATCGCATATCCAAATCGTTGAATATAGCTAATAGAGGAACCGTGGCTTATAGGATGACCAGCTTAAACTCTCTTGATTTATTTTCCTTAAACAATTGGTTTCCACAGCCCTAATTAAAAATTTTTGGAAATAAGTTTATATAGAAGATCCCCTTCTATATCTACTTATTAAAGAAATGCCCCTTACCTTTACGCAATATTAAATGAACACCCTGTATATAATGTTTTAAGTTGAGATTCTCTATTAGTCAACAGTAGATAATTGCTAAAAATAACTTCCACATAACAATTTAATTATAGTCAAGATGGTCTAGGATTGATTTATATTTTCATTGTTGACTGCTTGCCATTCGGACAGTGACAGTTGAAATACTTATGAATTTTCATAAATTTTTGTGGCGCCAATTTTAAAACATGGTCTGCAAACGATTACTACAGCCGAAGCCGCTGGAGATTCACCCTTTGGGGCTTCTATTAATTCTGCTTGGTTGTACGCTGACTGTCATATTGCACAGCAAAGCCTTTGATGAAGCCGCCAAGCAAGCTGCTGCAGCGCCACCACCAGGAGAAGCGCCAGCATCAGAAGGTGGGACGGCGTCAGGAGAAGGGCCAGCACCAGAACCAGAGGAAGGAGCAGGAGCAACGCCATCATCAGAACCAGGGGCAGAACCCGGAGCAGCGCCAGCACCAGAACCAGCAGAAGAACCAGGAGCAGCGCCAGCACCAGAACCAGCAGCAGAACCAGCACCAGAAACAGCACAATCAGAAGGAGAAGCGCCTCCAGCGGAATAAGTTTATTAATATTTTTTTACCTAAATGGTCAGATACTCTTGAAATTGATCACTTTTCAGTATATGTTTCCAGTGACTTAGATTCAAATATGATACATTATGTAAGCATTAATTACGCAAACTGAAACAAGAGAACTTAATTTAAATTTTATTGTAGCTAATTCATATTTATTTGTACATTACTTAAAATAATTTAATATATTGGAATTGAAAATGCCAATGAGTTTTTCATTATGGAGCTAATTGGAAAACAAAATTGACTACAAGTAATGGATGTATACGAGGTAAGATATAATAAGCAAAAAATTTTAAGCACAGCAAACAAAGCAATTAACCGAATATATGTCATTACAAAAGTACTCCCAGCATTCAAATATTTTCTTTACTTACTTAAATGTGTTAAGATAATTTACTAATTAAGATATTTCAATAAAATTTGATATGGACTTATTTTTTACCTAAAACATTGAGGTCGATTCAACCGACGCAGTCATTTGCTTTTTCACATTTTTCTTGTCGATAGAGAAATGTGAGTATACGTAGTTGATTTTCGACACTTTTTTTGCTGTAAATAAGATATAGGTACTTGATTCATATCACTAAAATACAGTTTCTGAAAAAAAATATATACTGCAGCTATCTGTTATGGACTGTTGAGAATTTGAAGATGTTCCAGTTTAATTACACCTCACATAATTTTTAAGGAAATGTTACCTGGTATACATCATACGCGTTGTAATATACACGTTATACAGGGTGGTCCGAATTTTATGCAGGAAACTTCGAGGGCAGATAGATCTCTTTAAAATAATAGGTGTTTGCCTTATAAACATAGGTCTGGAACGGCCTCATTTTAGAGATACAGGGCATTGGAGTTGTTAAAAAAAATTAATTTTTTGTTTATATCTCCGGAATCTATTAACCGATTTCAATAAAATTTGGTACAGATAACGTATGACAGTAGGCCTTGGATTCCTTAAAATATGAGCTCTAAAGGTTCAACCATTGGTGTACAACTGGACAGGTGTCGTTGTCTTTTTATATATATAATAAATAATAGGCAAACACCTATTATTTTAAAGAGATCTATCTACCCTCGAAGTTTCCTGCATAAATTTCGGACCACCCTGTATACAGTAATTTGGCCCATATTTGAAAATGATGTGTAATATATATTTTGTATATCATACAGGGTGATTTCACTTTAAAAACAGAAACTGCAGGACTAGATTCATTACCAAAAATAAGTAGAGTTTGCTCTATAAATGTTTTTTTCTGCGCGGTATTCGAAATCCAGGGTGTTAAAGTTTACAAAAAATATATTTTTTTTCTGCCATATCTTCATAATGCTCCAACGGAATTGAATGAAATTTACTTAATTAGACCTTTTATTGAATATAATATTAACCCTGTGGATTTAACTAGTGGCGTGCTACTGGAGGTGCCGCCATTTTTGCCTACAAAAAAATACGCCACTGGCGTTTTTTTGTAGCAATAATGTTACATTCAGGTACAGTTACGTTAAATGAATGAAAAATGTTTCTTGTTGTTTTTTAATAGTACCAACGGTTTATGAGATATTTGGGCTTGTTTCTACGTTTTATTGAATTTTCCTAATAAATTAATTTGTTTATTTGATGAAAACCTCCTGATTTTTACCAGTAACGTGCTACTAAAGCGTCCGCCAACTTTTCCCAAGAAAAGAATACGCCACTGGCGATTTTTTGTAGAATTTTTATTTCTGGAAAAAATATCAAACTAAATAACAAAATAACATTAACGAATTAATTAACTATTCATTAACAATTTATTTCTAACTATTTAGTAGGTAGACAACAAAGGGTAGTACTTAAAAACGATATTTCGAATCATATTAATACTAATTGTGGAGTGCCTCAAGGATCTGTATTGGGACCTACGTTGTTCTCATTGTATACATCCTCGTTCCCTAATTTTCTAAAGCACTGTAAAATTCAAATGTATGCAGATGATACTCAACTATTCTATTCGTTTCATCGTAATGATATTCAAAACAGCTGTATTATAATTAATAGTGAACTCGAAACACTTCGTCGAATTTCACTGGAGCACTTTGCGTTTAAACCCCACAAAATGTGTTACTATGCTTTTTGCTAGTCGGGTGAAATATGCTCACCTATTACCCGAGGTTAATATAACTGTTGATAATGTTCAGTTAGAAGTTAAAAATGAAGTTAAAGTTTTGGGTCTTATTATTGATAGCGACCTTAGATTCAATAAACATATATCAAACTGTGTAAAAAAATCCATTATTACTTTAAAAATATTATACAAATCCAGACATATCTTAAGTGAAAAACTAAAAATTTTACTTTGCCAGTCTTTGGTTTTATCTGTGTTTAATTACGGTGATACTGTTTATGGTCCATGTTTAGCTCAGGCGACATCTCAACGAATCCAGAAAATTCAAAATTACTGCCTTAGGTTTATATGTGATATTAGAAAGAGAAATCGAGTAAGACAATGAATACAAAATGGTTGGATATGAATAACACTCGTCTACATCACAGTGCTACTCTCTTTATGACTAGGTATCATTTTAAATAAATCCCCCCAATATTTGTACACTAAAATCAGATTCCGAACTCACGTTCATAATTTAAACACCAGATTTAAAGGTAATTTAACCCCCCCTTCACATAAAACTGCAACATTTGAAAGATCGTTTAGTTGTAATATGCCAAATTTACAATGCCCTACAGTTACCTCTCAAATCGCTGTCTGTTAGTTGTTTCAAAAAAAAAATATATATAAAGCCTTTCTTTTTAATTCTCAATAACCAGTACCTAATTACACTCATATAATTGTTTCGCTTGCATATCTACTTTGTCTGATATCGTATTATTTTTCTTTTTACTGTATACGTGTATGTATGTATTTAATGTTTTAAGTGTTTAAAGAGTGACTTAAATGCCGTGGCGCATCTAGCATGGGTTAAGTGGAAGAACAGTGTGTTGCCCATTGGACGACACAGCTGAACTTCGCCCTTTCATATATTTGTATTTAGTACATGTGTCTCTTTTTTATGCAATATATGAATAATAGTATATTATTCAACGAGCGTATAATGATGGGTATTATTCACGAGGTGAAGTTTACGGCCACGAGCCGCAGGCGAGTGGCCTAAATCACCGAGTGAATAATACCCATTATACGGGAGTAGAATACTATACTTTATCCACGACTACTAAATATTTTTGTTGAAGTTTTTTTTGAAATGTTTCGAAAAACATGGTATGTTAAGAAACAGATATACGACTCGCACAAATGAAGTCGCTGATGGCTCAGTGTAGATGCTCTTTCCCTTCCAACCGCGGGGCCCGGGTTCGAATCCGGTCTAGGAAAATTCACTTTTTTTTTATATGTACAGCACTGAATTGAAAATATTTAGTGGTTTACACGATAAAATTTTAAAGACGGATTGTTTGTAGCAGAACAATATAATATTATAGCTAAATTAAGGAAGCATCTGACAGTAGTGATTAATGACTCATTAATCACTGCCGTGATTAATGGGTATTATTAAGGTCGAGCAAACAGACGTATAATGGGTACATTATACAATAGTCGTGGATAAAGAATATTATTATTATTATTGTTATTAAATATTGTTCAACAACAATTGTTCAAAATGAAATCCTTCCGCATAGATACACTTTTGACATATTCTAATCAGGCTATTTATTTATAGAGGAAACTTATCATGGCATGATTTTCCCTGAGGAGATTACAATTTTCCTCTATTCTTTGCCACAATTAGTTTCATGTTCATAAGCTCAAGATGGACTGCAGCTTCAGAAATAAATAAACAAAGCTAATAATAATAATACTAAAACGAGATCATCGTAAAGCTTACTAGCTGATAATGCAGACAAAAGAATCAATTTTTGCAGATGAATTTTAAATTTTAAACAAATATAAGTATGTTCTTCAATATAATTATTATTATTATTATGAAAAAACGAATGTATTTCGATCTGGTTTCGTTCGTGGATAACTTATTCAAGTTATATTTTTTATTTTTTTATTTTTTCAGATTACTTAAATTTAGACTGAAAAATATTAAAAACTGATGCCTTTCATTTTGATTTTATACCTTTATATACATAATATATCTTTACGTTTCACATCAGGCAAGGTAGAATGTCATAAATCGAATAAGTAAAGAAAAACCAGAGAAAGTTTGGAATTGGATTTACATACTTTGAATAGAAATTGCCAAAAACAAAAAAATATTATATATCAGACATATATTTAGAAACAGGTTTTACGCTTCTATAATAAGAAACTGTTTTTATGAGCTAATGAATTTTCCTTTTAAAATCAAATCATGGATTGCTGCTATATTAGAATATTCCGCAACTAAGTAATCACAAAATATGTACTTTGCGAATTATTTAGTTTATGATAATAGCTATTCTTACAACGGACGTCACAATATATAGAGTGGTTTATTCCGCTAAATTATTGCTTTCAACTCATCATAATTTGTTTATTTTCATTAATATTTCGCTGCTCATACCGTTAATTTCTTTTTCTATCTACTCATACAAAATATCCAATTAACAATAAAAGTCAATTTGTTGTTGAAATTAACACGTACGAAAACTTCTAAGTTTAGTGAACATATTTCTATGTCTTTACATTTTTAAACAAAAATGTACAGTAGAAATCCCATACGAGCATATTCCATATTCATGGTTTCATTTCTGAATATTAACTCCCCTTAATTATCGACGAGTAGTAAAAAAAAATCCCATTGGAGTTGCTTAATTCATAATGTACCTTTTGCGAAAGAAATTTATGTGGAAAGATGTTCCCCTTCGATCTAAAATCCCTGTATATCACTATATAATTTGCGTTACAATCTGGGGTAGCGCATGTAAGTACAGCATTAATAAAGTTATAATTTTACAGCAAAGGATAATTCGTGTCATATTGAAGAAATTACCTATTAATAAACAAAAACATAAAGGGTCAAAAGAATTTCCGAAATTTTTCCTTGTTTTTGGACAGACTGTATTTAGGTGAAAAATGGTCGCATCGGGAATTAAAAAAGTTTTTTTGAGGTTTTAGGTTTTTATTTTTTGGTTCTTTGGTTGGAAGTTTTTTGGGGGTTCGGTTTTTCTTCCATTTTTAGGAATTGGGGGGTTAAAAATTTTTTGCAAGTTCACGGGCTTTGGAAAATTTTTTTTCGGTTAGGCCTTTTTTTGGGCGGTTGGTTTTTTTTTTTTGTTTCATTTTCTTTTTTTTTAAATTTCGATACGACCATTTTTCATCGAAATATTTTAATGAAANGTTATCATACAATTCTAAGAAATAGCGCGATAAAAAATGTTTGCAAAGTCAACGGACTTGGAAAAATTTTTTTCAGCTAAGCCATTGTATGGACAGATAGCTTGTTTATTCTGCTTCAATTTCCTTTTTTTTAAATTTCGATACGACCATTTTTCATCGAAATATTTTAATGAAAAAGGATCCTTTTGTCTTCAATCATCGATATCTCGGCGACAAATAGTCGTACAGAGAATTCAAGGGCAGTTTCGAAAACTGGAATAAATTTCCTATAACATGCTGTCACCACTTTTCGGACAATTTTTTTTTTCGTGTTTCACACGAATTTTAAGAAACAAGAAAAAAGGGGTAATTTATGGTTTTTTAGAAAATTGACGGCTAAATTAGAAATATTCACGAAATGACTAATGTTAAGCATGACTTTTACAGCTCGATATACCCAGATGAACCCTGTGAAGTTTCATCTCGATCTAGCTAACCGTTTCTTTGTTTCAAACAGTCAAACGTTTTTTGAGCTTAAACACTTCATAATCATTATTAAAATGGAAAAAATATTTTTTTGAGGTTTTCTCAGCCGCAAATAACGTTTAAATTGATGAAAAAAAAAAATTCGAAAAATTTTCGGAAAAAATTTCCGAAATTTTTCTTTGTTTCTTTGGGGAACCTTCCGGACATTGAAGAAAACAAAATCCAATAGTTTCCAACACGATTCGGCTTTTACATCATATGCTTCTGTTCATCAACTTTTAATTAAATTAAAATTAAAGGTGATGACCCAAACCAGATTTCGACCCCGATTCATACCGGTTTTTGAGACAAATTTCTAATTAATTTTTGTGCAGACTGTAATCACTTATAAACCCTTTTTCTCAAAACTACCCTTTTTCTTCTTAGAAAATTTTTTTTTTAAATGTGAGAAAACCTCAAACAATTTTTTTTCCATTTTAATCATGATTATGAAGTGTTTAAGTTCAAAAAACATGTCCCTTTAATTTTTTTCAAAACTTTGACTGTTTGAAACAAAGAAACGGTTCGCTAGATCGAGATGAAACTTCACAGGGTTCTTCTGGGTAAGTATATCGAACTGTAAAAGTCATGCTTAATATTAGTCATTTCGTGAATATTTCTAATTTAGCCGTCAATATTCCAAAAAACCATAAATTACCCCTTTTTTCCTGTTTTTTTAAATTCACGTAAAAGGTGAAAAAGATAAAAAACAATTGGAAAATTTTTTCGTCGCGCTATTAAAATTGTTTGATAACTGTAGCTCCTAGAACAGAAAGATGTAAAAACTAGAATCTTACGAGTTTCAAAATGCTTTTTCTTTAATTCCCGATACGACCATTTTTCACCTAAATACAGTCTGTCAAAAATCACGGAAAAATTTCAGAAATGCTATTGATTTTATTTTTTTGCATTAGTTTACTTTAATTTTTTTTTGGTCTTCACTTTTTCACATTTTTTTTATATATTGTTAATTAGACTGTTCTACTTTAAATTTTTGTTTATTTAGTGTATACCTATTTCAATTTCAATTTCAATTTCTTTATTTCCATTGTATTGGAATTGTTAATAAAAGTGTAAAAGCTACATAAACTTCGTAAATACTAAACACACAAAATAATACNTTTGACGTTTTGAAACAAAGAAACGGTTCGCTAGATCGAGATGAAACTTCACAGGGTTCTTCTGGGTAAGTATATCGAACTGTAAAAGTCATGCTTAATATTAGTCATTTCGTGAATATTTCTAATTTAGCCGTCAATATTCCAAAAAACCATAAATTACCCCTTTTTTCCTGTTTTTTTAAATTCACGTAAAAGGTGAAAAAGATAAAAAACAATTGGAAAATTTTTTCGTCGCGCTATTAAAATTGTTTGATAACTGTAGCTCCTAGAACAGAAAGATGTAAAAACTAGAATCTTACGAGTTTCAAAATGCTTTTTCTTTAATTCCCGATACGACCATTTTTCACCTAAATACAGTCTGTCAAAAATCACGGAAAAATTTCAGAAATGCTATTGATTTTATTTTTTTGCATTAGTTTACTTTAATTTTTTTTTGGTCTTCACTTTTTCACATTTTTTTTATATATTGTTAATTAGACTGTTCTACTTTAAATTTTTGTTTATTTAGTGTATACCTATTTCAATTTCAATTTCAATTTCTTTATTTCCATTGTATTGGAATTGTTAATAAAAGTGTAAAAGCTACATAAACTTCGTAAATACTAAACACACAAAATAATACTTTAACAAACAACAAATTATTATACATCAAAGTAATCATAAAATCCTTTGTATACTAAATGCAGCTTTAAGCGCTTTTTAACCAGTCCAGTCGATGAGCAACTTTTTAATTCAGAAGGTAACTTATTGTAAATTTTTAGACCCAAGTAATTGCGTGATCTGCTGGCAACATTTAACCTACAAAAAGGCATGTAAAAATTATTTTTTTGTCTTGTATTTATAGAGTGAATATTATCATGTTTTATAAATTTGTCCTGATTATTATGTATATACAAATAAAGCTCATATATTAAGAGAATAGCATTGTTAAAATTTGGTGTTTTATAAATAAATCCCTACAGCTAACAAAAGATGGCATATGAAACATTACTCTCAATATTTTTTTTTGTGTGACAAAAACATTACCTGACATTGAAGACTGCCCTCAAAAACATATTCCATATCACAATCGGCATTCAACTTCAGCGAAATATATAATTATTATCTGATTAATGTTTAAAGCTGTTCTAAACTGATAAAGTACATAATTTAATTTCGTAATTATATGCTCACAATGAGACTTCCACGTTAAACATTCGTCAATATAAAGTCCTAAAAATTGAACACTTTCTGTACCTCTTGTCATACGATTATGTGTCTATTAACATAGGTGTGTATAAAATACTTTTATACATTACAAAACTTATCCAATATCATTTGTTATCTAAAGGGACTAAATAAATTATTACCTATTATTATTATTCACAATAATAATAATGATTCAAAAGTCATCCTGTTTTCAATAATTATAATATAAATAATCACAGGCCAACAAGGAAAAAATTCCAGAGATCAGACACTACGTTTCCGAAGGCATTTGGCGCGCTGAATCCGAATCTAGCCTCAAAATTGATCCATCACCCTAGGTTTCCCAGATATTCTAACCTAAAAGTGCAAAAAACACGTATTTTTGTTATTTTCAAGGTTATGTAACTTGGCGAAAAAATTTTTCTCGAAACTGAATATATCATTGGAAACTACTATCTTTCCCCTTCAAAACGCATTTTTTTATTTGTAAAAAGCTTTATTTTTCGCGGAGATATCGTCGATTAAAGATGATCAGTATAGCTACCTTATTACCATGGCTCGAGCTATAACACAATATCACTAAGCGCTACGAGCCTTAGAGGGCTCGCAGCGCTTAGTGTTATTGGGTAATAGGGCTTGAAGTTAACCTTCCTGACGATTAGGGCTCACAGCGCTTAGTGTTGTGGGGTTATAGGGCTTGGGATTAACCTTCCAGACATATAGGGCTTGGGGTTAACCTTCCTGACGATTAGGGCTCGCAGCGCTTAGTGTTATTGGGTTATAGGGCTTGAAGTTAACCTTCCTGACGATGAGGGCTCGCTCCGCTTAGTGTTGTGGGGTTATAGGGCTTGGGGTTAACGTTCCTAACAATTAGGGCTAGCAGCGCTCAGTGTTATGGGGTTAGCCATGATGTAATAATATAGCCATACTGGTCATCTTAAATTGACGATATCTCCGCGAAAAATAGAGCTTTTTCCAAATAAAAAAATGCGTTTTGAAGGGGAAAGATAGTCGTTTCCAATGATGTTTTCAGTTTTAAGAAAAAAATTTTTTTCGCCAAGTTACATAACCTTGAATATAGCAAAAGTACGTGTTTTTTGCACTTTTAGGTTAGAATATCTCGGAAACCTAGGGTGATGAATCAATTCTGAGGCCAGATTCGGATTCAGTGCGCCAAATGCCTTCGGAAGCGTAGTGTCTGATCTCTGGAATTTTTTTTTTTTTAATTTTGTCGGCCTGTGAATTAAACGTTAAAATATGATTTTAGTGGACAGAACAATTACTTCCACGTGGCTTACGCATGCAAAAAATAAAGCATCTCTATGGCAAAGCTTCAGCAGATCTGTTTTGTGTTGACATAGTTACCTTTATTATTGTCAATTTCCTGTCATTTTGACAGAACTATTTTGTTGATTGTAAATTTCCGTAAAACCATTTTAAAACGCAAAAATGATTTGCAAGCTATTGCAACTAAAACCGATCGAAATTCATCAGTCAGATTTGATGCTTAGTGCTGTTGGTAGCATGCTGATTAACGTACTGCATAGCAGAGCTTTCAGTGTACGAAAAGGGGGCAAAGGAGGAAAAGGAGGAAAAGGAGGAAAAGGTGGAAAAGGAGGAGCTGGAGGAAAAGGAGGAAAAGGAGGAAAAGGAGGAAAAGGAGGAAAAGGAGGAAAGGGTGGCGATGGAGGTAAAGGAGGAAAAGGTGGAAAAGGGGGAGGAAGAGGACAAGATGGAGAAGATGGTAGCTAAAAATTTGTGGACATACAAGAAAGGAGAAGTGGCATAAGTGTTTAGAGTGTCCAGAATTATTCTTAACGGATGTGAAATACGTTTAAAAAACTTCACATAAAGGATTTTTCTTAATAAATAATGTTTTGTAATTTAATATATTGAAAGTATATTATTTATCGATTTTCGAAAGAAATTTTTTAATCTAATATTACAAGTTTATTAAAAATATTATGCCACAGACCGAAATGAGGTAAGTATTTGTCATTTCATAACAAAAGTTATTGATTTATTCTGTAATATAAAAATACTGAAAAATCACCAGTAACAGAACAGAACAGAACAGAACAGAAGACATATACGACATATTTCCAATACATGGTTAACCTTTTCTCTGATCCAATTCTAATTAAGTAACCTTCCACTCCCAATTGGTATTTTCTTCAATACAACATATCATTCCTTGAACTAAGAAGCGGAATGAATATAGCAAAACAGTTTTAGATGAACTAGTAAAATTACAATATCGCCGTGTTTGTTTTATTTTCGTAATTATTTCAATAGTAATATCACAGACAAAATAGCTATCGCCACAGACCGCTACTGGAATAGGCCGGCACTTTTAAATTTCCGAATTGCCGGTAGAGTACACCACCAGCAGAATTTTAGGAAGAATCAAATGCAGCGGCCCGCATACCTACCCGTATCCTAGCAACATATAAACAAGACTTTGGTAATGTTGCCAGGCGTACTTACGGATTTCTTTTGTACACTTTATTATCAATATGTGTTTTTTGCGTTACTGTATTTACTTAAATGTATGATGTAGGTATTGATAGAAATGTTTTTAAAGAATCAACGAATATCTATGTAGTTTCATATGATATTCTGCAGCGGTGTTACAATTAAGTTATTTAATCATAATTTCGTTAATTAGCTACCTACTATTTTCATTTGTTGGTATTGAAATACTGCAGAAAATATATTTCCAAACCAACAAAATTCGTAATAATAATGACGATAAATTTATTTAATATACAAGGTGGTTGTATTTTGACATCCACTTACAGGTTTAAAAATTAAAGATAGAAAGAAACTTTAAATACAAATGTACGACTTTTCCTTTATTTCATTTGACATCAAAATTTGCTGGCATAAAATATGTTTTAATTCAAATTCAAAATTATCAAGCATTTCGTCCTGTATTCTTCTTTCAATACTAGGAAATTTTCAGGTAAAAAAAATATGTCTAAAGGACTGACAATGAGATCGGGGCTGTTTTCTGGCCACCTAAGTTTCTAATAATATTTTTTAGTGTTCGTTGACGGGATTCTTCCCCCAAAGTAAATTTGCCAATATTCCTGAAGAACTTTTGCACATTATCGTTATTTGAATAATACAGTTAATCATGTTTTATTTTTCGTCATCACAATAACCCATTGTAATTTTTTTAATTTTTTAAATTGAAATGGGTTATTCTAATAATGATAAATCCCATGTATTTTTAAAAGAAGGTTCATTTCTGTCGTTTTTGTCTAATTGTGTGCGAGGGAGATAGAGTTATAGTGTGCGATAGAGATAGAGTGACTCTGTCCTCATAGAGATAGAGTGACTCTGTCCTCATAGAGAGCTTATCTCTCTCTCTTTCTCTCTTTCTGCTGCCTTCAGGAGTCTCCCCAGCAATTTCAGGACACCTAGAGAGGGAGCGTGGGGTAGGGTGCGTGACCTTTTTAGCCTTCGTTCGATAAAAGAAGATCGATATCTAGATGTCACACAGTATAAGAAAAAAAAAACGCTCTTTGCTCGTAACTCGGAAATGGCTGGAAATATAAACAAATTTCCCCTTGGTTCTGAGTAGAGCACTCGGTGGGTGACGCAGAGCGGGGTGTCACAATATATGAAAGAAAAAAAAACAGTATTTGCTTAGACTCAGTATTAAAAAATCTGCCATGGTGAACCCTTGAAAAACGTCAAAACCCGCATGTCAAAAAAAAAATCGGGAGCAATGGTATGTGATACCATAGGACAAAAAAGTGTTCATAACTCGGAAACGGTGCGTTGAATCGAAAAAATAATTGAAAAATGTCAACCCCTCCCTCCCGGGTTTTGAATGTTCCTTCTGGGTTGAATGCAAAAGGACCGAAGTCCGTATGTCGAAATTAAATTTTGGAAACAAGGGTATGTCGTGTTATAGTAAAAAGGCCGTATAACTCGGAAACGGTGCGTTAAATCGAAAAAATAATTGAAAAATTCTCCCCACATCTTTGGTTCTGTGTGTCAGTTCTGCGTTGAATGGAAAAGGTCCGAAGTCCGTATGTGGAAAATAAATTTCGGAAAGAAGAGTTTGTGAGGTGATACAGTAAAAAAGGCCTTATAATTCGGAAACGGTGCGTTGAATTGAAAAATAATTAAAAAAATCTCCCCACTACTCTGGTTCTGATTGTCCGTTCTGCGTTGAATGGAAACGGTCCGAAGTCAGTATGTCGAAAAACAAAACAGTTAGTCAAAAATTGCAACAGCAGTAGCGAACGCATTATCTTATCTCTGTATTGATTGATGATTTGTTGTTTTTTTTTAAATAAATTTCGTATTCAACTACTTGAGGTTCCAGCAATTTTACATTGTGTTAATTTTTTTGAACACCTTGTGTCACAAATATGAGCACTACCAATGACATCCATGATATGCAACACTTGTGTCAATAATTATTTTACCTATCTAAAGAAATCAACAATAAGAGGCAGTACCCATCTAAGGATACACAACCTGTATAATGCAATTTTTTTAAACATAGGTGTTAATATCGTACCATATTGGAAGTCGACGCACAAATCTAAAAACATTAATTTCGAGTTTTTGAATTTTCCCATTCCAAGGTGATATAAAACAAATAATTAATTAGGTAAATTCATAGTTTTAATTTTAACTTGATTTATTTTATTTAACATTTAAGGCAAATGTGATTTCCAAACACAAGATAATTTCCTTATCTATTTAATTACATAATTGAAAGCATTAAATTTATTTAGCAGTTATTATTTGGCAACAAAGCCACCACTGGAACTGCCGCCTATTACTAAGTAGAAGAGTTACCACGCTAAATTTTATAGCTGGAAGACGGCTAAGGAGAGCCTGCTTCCATTTCGGGTTACCAATTTCCAGCATTTAAGTGGCAGTCTGTAGCGATACGCTATATTGTCTGTGGTAATATTATAATATTGTAATACTGACAGGAATCATTGTGCCAATATTATTGAGTATATTACAATTTATAACCAGTGATTGTTATTATTAGTTATACCTACAGTGACTCTATACAAGACAGTGGCGACAATAGAGTGTATCATTTTTAATTGGTCCACGTGATTTTAGCTGCCATGTTGCATCCAGTGTCAAATTCATCTGTGAAATGTCATGGTGTCAGGAGCATTCTTATGATGTTATTCAATATTTGTATTGTTTTATTTTAATTTTGGTGATTACTAGTGAAACTATTGGGTATTCTGTGCTAAGGGATAGTTATAATGTCTGCAGAAGCTTCATGAGGACGATGACCGTGAATTTCTTTCAGGCTTTTTGGACACCATAACAAAAAATATAAGACCTACTTATAAGGAAGTTAAGGTTCCTGCTAACATAGAAGAACTAAAATTTAATCTTAGTTNATTTATTTTATTTAACATTTAAGGCAAATGTGATTTCCAAACACAAGATAATTTCCTTATCTATTTAATTACATAATTGAAAGCATTAAATTTATTTAGCAGTTATTATTTGGCAACAAAGCCACCGCTGGAACTGCCGCCTATTACTAAGTAGAAGAGTTACCACGCTAAATTTTATAGCTGGAAGCCGGCTAAGGAGAGCCTGCTTCCATTTCGGGTTGCCATTTTCCAGCATTTAAGTAGCAGTCTGTAGCGATACGCTATATTGTCTGTGGTATTATTATAATATTGTAATACTGACAGGAATCATTGTGCCAATATTATTGAGTATATTACAATTTATAACCAGTGATTGTTATTATTAGTTATACCTACAGTGACTCTATACAAGACAGTGGCGACAATAGAGTGTATCATTTTTAATTGGTCCACGTGATTTTAGCTGCCATGTTGCATCCAGTGTCAAATTCATCTGTGAAATGTCATGGTGTCAGGAGCGTTCTTATGGTGTTATTCAATATTTGTATTGTTTTATTTTAATTTTGGTGATTACTAGTGAAACTATTGGGTATTCTGTGCTAAGGGATAGTTATAATGTCTGCAGAAGCTTCATGAGGACGATGACCGTGAATTTCTTTCAGGCTTTTTGGACACCATAACAAAAAATATAAGACCTACTTATAAGGAAGTTAAGGTTCCTGCTAACATAGAAGAACTAAAATTTAATCTTAGTTTTAGTGAATTAAATTATCTTTATAATGTGTGCGGATATATTGCCCAAAGTATCGTTAAAACGTCAAAAACTTGTACAAACTGTCTGCATGCTGTTGGTTCTAAAACGCCGATCTATAAAACATGTTCAAAATTTAGCGTACTTAAGAGATTTAGAGAACATTCAGTCTTTTTTGCAATGAAGCGGTATTTTGTTTCTTCTTGCAGATGGAAAGTACTTTTACAACATTTTTTGCGATTGAATCTTGACAAAACATAAATTTAAAAGAGTTTTTCTTAAAAGAAATGTCTGGTTTAAATTTAGATCTACCAAATTGTCATCAGATCAAAAATAAAATTGTTAAAAGATTTATTATGTTCCGATTAAAAATAGCTTCCAAAAAATGTCAAAAAGCATGCAAAAAGCTTGCAAGTAAAAGTGTTGCTGGACATTTATTGTAACAAATACTATCACTAGTATTAAGTATTCGTTTTTCTAATGTAAACCCAATAAATTTCATTGTGTAATGTAGGTATGCTTAAATTTACTTGCCTAGAAAATATAAACCAATAGTTGTTATTATTATATATTTATCCTTCCCTATTGCGCAAGTAGATTCTATATTCATTCATTATTTAAAATCACTTTCCAAGGGAGTTATTTGCCTAAAACTGTGCGTAAAATTTAAAAGAAAAATACTTTTGTACTTAATTTATTTTTTATAAAAGTTACTTTCAATTTGACATTGGATGCAACATGGCGGATGGGCGGGGTTTAGTCGCTATTGTCGCCACTGTCTTGCATATAGCCACTGTAGTTATACCTACATGAATCTTATTAGCCAATGATGACTATTATAACACCGGCACACAAAAAAAAAACTCAATTGCGAAGAAGATGTAGACCCGGTAGTGCTACTCATTTTGATGTCAGTAATCTATAAAACATACTCTTAGTCAAAGTTTGGGTTCTAATATTTAGGGTTGGTCATTTTAATTAATAGAATATCCAGCACAGAAAAAAGTCCAAACCCAAAGATCTGACATAACATTTCCGGTGTATTTTGACCAGCTAAGATACCGTAGTCAGAATTTTGTAAAAATCTATATATATTTAGTGTTCTGTCAAAAATGCTGTTGTCTGATTGGTCCTTGTATTACTGGTGATACCGGATTGGTAAAAGCTAAAACGCTTCTAGCTTCTGCCGTACCAACCGCAGTAACGGCATTACTATGAAGTTTATCTGAATGTCCCTATTACAATGCATCTTAAGAACTTTTCTACAGTACCAGTGCAACCGCACTAATCCTATGTGAATGAAGCTTAATTGTGTTCCTGTTGCTGATTTTGAAGAAGCTCAAGAAGCAAGTTTCCATTTATTGCCAGGGAAATCCAGAGGACATTATGAAAAAGTGTTCACCTATTTTAACGAATGGAGGGAAGAACTGAGAGTAATGACAATAAATGAAGAAGTCATGCTATCGTATTTTTTAAATTTGAAGGGACAAAGTATTCGATGTTGAAGGCTACTATAAAGGTCTAAAAAAATATAGATATTGGAATATAATATAACAAGCTTAATGCATATTTGAAGAGTGAATCGAGAGGATACGAAGCAAAAAAAAATAGTTTTGGAAAGAGAACATATTGAAGATTTTTTTACTTCGGCTTCCGATAAAAAATATTTAATGATTAAGGTAATATCTCTTTACCTTGTACATGTTGTTAGGTATATCGTGAACTTTGCTGACACCAAGATGGGCATTTCAAGAAAATTTACAATAGGGTTGTTGACCAAATTTCAAAAAGTAGATAATATAATTTTACACGTACTAACTAGTATGTATACACAATTACAGATTGAGAAATGCGTCAGAACAGTTTTAAAATAATTATTTAAAACTGATTTTTTTATAACATTTCAAAACGGCTGTGACGTCATAAGGGGCAACTTGTAGTGAAATTATGTGGAAATGATTGCGTAAAGGAAAGAATTGAAAGAAGACGCTCTGTCAACACTGTCGGTAGTGTCAGTCTGTCAGTGACACTGTCGTATAAAATATTTTCAAGTCTATGGGTTATTTTCCTTAATCTTCAAATTCCTTTATTAAGTAAAGTTATTATTTAGTAATAACCATTTAATAGCTTCCCTTATAACTAAAACAGAATGTGTGAATCGCGATTTGAGGAAGCTACTTCGCAAATTTTACCGAAAATTGATATTTTTATGAACATGAATTGAATTTAAAAAAAAATGACGAGCGTTTTAATATTGGCGAAATCAGAGGTATAAAAGCAGTCAGATAAGGATCGACATATTTAATGAATGAATTTATTGTGTTTATTTATATAAAATACCTATTTATTTATGGAAATTTATAGTGCAGTTCGGGAGTCTAATGGAGATAATGCAATTGGTTACGTGGAATGTGGAACAAAACACCACTTAAATTTTGTAGAATCCATTACAATCAGGAAATTAATAGTAACTATCACAAATACTCTTAATTGATAGACTGCTGTCACTTGTGTCACTTTTATTTAAAATACAGGAAACAGGGCAGCAGGATTTGATGGACAATTTTGACATATTTTCTTCTTCTTCAAAATTATGCAATAGGATCGCTACTAGCTTCTTGTTCAATTGCCCCTTATGACTTCAGACTAGTTTATAAGTAACACAAAAATTCGTAAATGATTTCTACCACTAATTTGTCATATATTTAAAATTTGACCATACAGGCAGGTTCTTTTATATAAAATTTTTGAGTCAACAACAATTTGTATATGGTTTGCTTTTATAGTGGACAACCCTATTATAGAAGAAGGATTTTGTGACCAATTCGACTAACACAAGACAGATTCTTTTTATGATACATCAATAAAAAATGTACCTCTCAGCATGTTGGAATCAACACAATGGCGAAGGTACTCTCAANTTAAGAACTTTTCTACAGTACCAGTGCAACCGCACTAATCCTATGTGAATGAAGCTTAATTGTGTTCCTGTTGCTGATTTTGAAGAAGCTCAAGAAGCAAGTTTCCATTTATTGCCAGGGAAATCCAGAGGACATTATGAAAAAGTGTTCACCTAATTTAACGAATGGAGGGAAGAACTGAGAGTAATGACAATAAATGAAGAACTCATGCTATCGTATTTTTTAAATTTGAAGGGACAAAGTATTCGATGTTGAAGGCTACTATAAAGGTCTACAAAAATATAGATACTGGAATATAATATAACAAGCTTACTGCATATTTGAAGAGTGAATCGAGAGGATACGAAGCAAAAAAAAAAGTAGTTTTGGAAAGAGATCATATTGAAGAATTTTTTACTGCAGCTTCCGATAAGGAATATTTAATGATTAAGGTAATACTATCTCTTAATCTTGTACATGTTGTTAGGTATATCGTGAACTTTGCTGACACCAAGATGGGCATTTCAAGAAAACTTACAATAGGGTTGTTGACCAAATTTCAAAAAGTAGATAATATAATTTTACACGTACTAACTAGTGTCTATACACAATTAGAGATTGAGAAATGCGTCAGAACAGTTTTAAAATAATTATTTAAAACTGATTTTTTTATAACATTTCAAAACGGCTGTGATGTCATAAGGGGCACCTTGTAGTGAAATTATGTGTAAATGATTGCGTAAAGGAAAAAAATTGGAAGAAGACGCTCTGTCAACACTGTCAATAGTGTCAGTCTGTCAGTGACACTGTCGTATAAAATATTTTCAAGTCTATGGGTTATTTTCCTTAATCTTCAAATTCCTTTATTAAGTAAAATTATTATTTAGTAATAACCATTTAATAGCTTCCCTTATAATTAAAACAGAATGTGTGAATCGCGATTTGTGGAAGCTACTTCGCAAATTTTACCGAAAATTGATATTTTTATGATCATGAATTGAATTTTTAAAAAGAGACGAGCGTTTTAATATTGGCGAAATCAGAGGTATAAAAGCAGTCAGGTAAGGATCGACATATTTAATTAATGAATTTATTGTGTTTATTTATATAAAATACCTATTTATTTATGGAAATTTATAGTGTAGTTCGGGAGTCTAATGGAGATAATACAATTGGCTATGTGGAATGTGGAACAAAACACCACTTAAATTTTGTAGAATCCATTACAATCAGGAAATTAATAATAACTATCACAAATACTCTTAATTGATAGACTGCTGTCACTTGTGTCACTTTTGTTTAAAATACAGCAAACAGGGCAACAGGGTCTGATGGACAATTTTGACATATTTTCTTCTTCTTCAAAATTATACAATAGGATCGCTACTAGCTTCTTGTTCAAATGCGCCTTATGACTTCAGACTAGTTTATAAGTAACGCAAAAATTCGTAAATGATTTCTACCACTAATTTGTCATACATATATTTAAAATTTGACCATACAGGTAGGTTCTTTTATATAAAATTTTTGAGTCAACAACAATTTGTATATGGTTTGCTTTTATATTGGACAACCCTATTATAGAAGAAGGATTTTGCGTGAATGCTGTTGAAATATGCAGGAAATATTGCGCCCAATTCGACTAACACAAGACAGATTCTTTTTATGATACATCAATAAAAAATGTACCTCTCAGCATGTTGGAATCAACACAATGGCGAAGGTACTCTCAATAGCTGCTTCATTTCTGAATATCGCAAAACCAGAAGCATATAATACTGGCCAAATTTATTGGCCAATAAAGGTGCAACCATCAAAAGGCATGGCAACTTAATATTGCAAGGAAAATCCAAGGAAAATATAACTGTTCCTTACAAGAAGAGACAGACATCCCTAACATGTGCAAATTCTTCACAAACTTCGGCAGATGTTATACGTTCCGAAAATGATGGCAACAATGCTACAAGGGTTGTTATTAACGGAAAGGAAGTTAAATGTGATAAAACAAAAAATGAAATAATGTCTTATAAATGTAAATGTTAATGTTAATAAGTAAATAAATTAAATTTGATTTGTTATAGGTTTATTTTTTCATTATTCTACTAGTGAAATAGTTACTTTATGCCATTCGTGAATAAAGTATTACTTTAGATGGTTCATAGGTATGTGTGGATAAAAGTCCGATTATAAGGTGATTGTGGATAAATAAACTTATTTCAATTTTGCCACATAATTTTATATAAAAATGACAGTGACAAAAAATAGTCCGTCACTAACGTCAACTGATACATATAATTCATATTGAAAAACTTCAGTTGATGTCAAGTTGAATAGAGGTAGATAATTTTTATTGTAACCTTTTTGGGGTATATTAACAATATTAGAATTTAATGCAACCTTGAAACTATATATTTTTTTATTCGAGTCTGATGAATTTTTCGCTTGTTATAGTTAATTATATGATGCCTGACATACGGCATAACAAAGCCTTCACTACGGGCCATATAGACGATGGCAATAATGTGAAACAAGCGGAAGAGAAGAATGGGGAAAGAAGAAGAACAGTGGCGACAGGCAGTGGTGGTAAGGGTGGAGCAGGGGGAAGAGGTGGTGGCGGAGGTGGTGGAGGCGGTGGAGGTGGTGGAGGTGGTGGAGGCAGTAGGGGAGGGAAAGGAGGAGAAGGTGGAAAGGGGAGAGGTAAAGACGGTGAAGATGAAAAAGCGAGAGAAGGAAAAGATAATGAAGAGAAAGGAAGCGTAAGAGGAGAAAAAAGAGGAGAAGAAAGAAAATCTGGTGAAGATGGTAAGGATGGAGGAAGTGGAGGGGGTGGTAAGGGTGGTAGGGGCGGAGGGGGTAGAGGAGGGAAAGGAGGAGAAGGTGGAAAAAGAGGGGGAATTAAAGACGATGAAGAAGAGAAAGAGAGAGGAAAAGAAGAGGAAGACGATGACGAGGGGAAAGGGAAAAAAGGAGGTGGAGGTAAGGGTGGAGAAGGAGGAAAAGCAGGTGAAGATGGTAAAGATGGAGAAGGAAGTGGTGGTGGTAAAGGAGGTAAAGGAGGAGGAAAGACAGGAGCAAAAGGAGGACAAAGAAAATCAACAGAATCGACATAGAAGGAACAACAGATGTAAGAAGTAGTTTATGTTAGCTAAATAAATTCAATAATAGTAACTCATATAATTTACATAGAAATATGCATTATGTTATTTATTATTTCTATTAATTAACTAAATGCAAATATAGAGCATTCATATTAATGACGTTAATATAAATGATTTTCATCTGATAACTCGTATTTAGTGTTTTCATTGTAATGCATGGAAATTTGTAAATGATAATTAAAAAGAAACTAAATAGGTATAGCCAGTATTTCAATTACAAATGTTCTGACGTCATAACCTTCATAAAGAAATAAAAAATGCACATTTTATAACAAATCAAACGCTCTCAGCATATTAACAACAATTCTATTCACTTTTAAAGTAATAAATCCCATATATTTGCACCAATACTGTTCAACTACTTTGAAAAGATTATTACAGTAGAATATGCAGTAATTTTTCGAGTTAATGAAATTACAAAGAATGTTACAGAATATAAAAAATTATTTGTTGTTCTCATGATAATTTGAAAATAATCATATTTTTTAGTGCACAGTCTCAGTGAAACAAAACCGTTCAGTATCGAGACATAAAACCTCATTAATTTAAAACTAAATTTAGTTGTTCTGAATAGAAACTGGCTCGAGTCAAAATATTATCAAAAAGTTTCCGTAAAAGTACCCGAAACAACGTTGAAATATATTTTTAGAAATAAAATTTTGTGAAATTGTGATTTGAAAAAGCGATATATTTTTGAAATATCTGATTTCTCTAGAATAAGCAGTTGTCTAGTTTACTAAAAGGAACAGTGTTATATTGTTGAATAACAGAAATAATAGGAATAACAGACAAGTCAATAAATAACAAAAAAAAAATTGAGAAGGATTGGCGCCGTTCGACAAAATGTCGCTTTTCCACGTAACCAATCCTTACCAGTTTACAAGCATATAGACAAAATGACAAGACAGAAGCATAATGTAAAGTAATATAGGTAAAAACACTAAGGCAAACGTTTCGAAAATATCCAAGTTTTGACCTGTTTTCGGAATGTCTATAAGTTCGAGACCGACTTAATACAGTTAGGAATATCATTGAAATTCTTACATGCATTATATGTAAAACTTCTTTCAAATTGTCCAGTTGTATGCTTGGGCACAGTATACATTTCCTTATAACGAGTAGATAAATTGTGAGTATCACAGACTAAGTTTGTTATATAAATAAGAAGGTAACATATTATTTTTTATTTTGAAAACCAAACATGACATAATATGATACCTAAACCTTTCCTCCAAATTAAGCCAATTTGCACGTGAAAAAGCTTCAGACAAATGGTCATATTTACGCAAGTTAAAGGAAAATCTAATACAACTATTTTGTATTTTTTGGAGGGTGCTCTTATCTTTCGCGGTTAAAGTAGGCCAGTAAACAACATCACAGTAAGCCAAACATGACATAATCAATGAGTCACACAATAATAATTTTATGTCATTACTCAAAAACTCCTGCATGTACAATAATTTCAGTTTATTATATGATTTATTAACCAGATTAATGACATGATTGCTGAACCTCAGATCATCATCGTAAGTAAAAAGAAAAACATTGTTTCAGAGTCCAGGATTTTAACAGTGGATATACGTATTATGATACACATTCAAACTCTGATTTTTACAAACTTTTGTTTTAGACACAATTTGTTTTGCATTATGTACGGGGAAAACTTCATTAAGACACCGAAGAACTTTCATGTGAAATTCATATGATACAATAACTGCCAGCAGCATCAATCTAAGGTTATCTATAATACAATGGAACTTAGTTGTCTTAACGGAAGAGAATCGTGACGTTTTTGTTTTCGCTTTTGTTGGTTTTCCTGGAAGTAATCGAAATTTGTTACACATGAACGGTATCTGATATAATTGACGTCTAGTAACTAAATGATGTATCTATACAATAAAAACTCTTTGGTAATTCTTCCATCATATTTTTCAGGCAAAATCATTTATGACACAAACATTCAATAATACTTCAATTATTCTTATAAGCTGGTGAGACAATCCCTTTGTATATTAATAACCTTTATCCTGCAGGGCTTTTTAGTAGAATGGTATATTTACCAAAGAAACTTCGGCGAAAACTGTAATATGCAATTATTATTATCCCGGATATTTAAAAATATTTTGAAGGAAATTATGCAATTACTTTTACTTTTGCACTTTGGTATAGCACATTTTATTTTTTATAAAAAATTATTCTACGAAAAGTTAAGTCAGTAAACGTACCAACAATTAATTGAGCTTAATTGAACATTACGTAAAAAGCGAGCACCTTATTGAGACGAGTCAGAATAGTAGGATAAACAAAGCAAGCTGTGCATACTCTTCAATTTGCAGAGACCCTCCACTACTCACAAACTATTGGTAATAAACAGAGAAGTATTTAAAAATTATACAGTTCTGAAATCATAATCGATGAAATTTAAAATGAGTGAAACTAGTGAAATTAGTCTCTGTGAAGGTTTTACGTTTGCAAATAATTCTTGCAGTAGTAGTTTAAATTACTTCAGATTATCTAAAATGTGTAGATACATAATTTATACCCAGACCATCCGTCCACCCCTTCTAAAATCCAAAGTACGTGGTTATGGGAAAGAGCGGAAAATTCTACGTTCAGATAATGTATCATGTGTGGGGTCCATTTGGCCCCCCAAAGTCACGTGAAGGTCAATTTTTTTGCAATTAAAATTAATGTGTAACATAACATAGATAATAACATAAAATCATAATAACATAAAGTTATTTTCAATGTTAATAAGATTAAGCTGTTTTTTATAAACCATAAACAGTAAAACAAAATTGTCCTTCACATGACCTTGGGAGGTCAAATGGACCCCACACATGATACATCATCTGTACGTAAAATTTTTCGCTCTATCCAAATCCGAGGTTGAAAATAAGGATTTCCATTTAAATTTAAAACCTTATTTGACCTTGAAATGACCTTGAAAACGACCTTCAAGGTCACGATAATGTGTCGCTTGGATAATGGTAACTTTCGTCTGAACCATTTTTCACATAACCATGTACTTTGGATTCTGGAAGGGGTGGACGGGTGGTCTGGGACATATTGTAAAAAAATTAGTATGTGATAATAAAAATATTTTACTGATATTTGCAACATATTTCAAGAGTAATATGTTTTCTAAAAGTTCATTGCGCTATAGTTTGCACAAAGAAGTATTTCCGGCAGTATTTTTACAGAAGGGGGGCTTGCCAAATATGTAGGTACATTGCAATTAGTTATTTCAAGTAATAAATTAGTTTAATGCACAATAATTTGAGAATATTTTATACAAATATTTGTCAGAAATACATATTATTATGTCCTTGTAATTATACTACTTTTATCTAGTAAATAGCATACTGAAAAAAATGTGTAAAATAATAAAATCTTGTATTGATGATTAAGAAAATAATTACAAATATTAATAAAACTGTAATCAATTTCTTAAATTAATAATTTTACTATTTTTATATTATATATTTATGACAATCGTTATCTATTTTAATAAGCTTTCAACAAATAAAAAATTCTTATTACCCTATCTACTACTCAAGGACACTGAAAGTGGCTTAAAAATATTAAATTGCCGACAATGGATCAATTTGCAAGTTTACTTATCAACCTCAAATTTTAAATGGGACCCTCTTTTTTTACCCTGGGAATGAATTCGGCAGAAAATGTTACATACGCATGTAATCCCAACTTTGACCTTGCGGTAAAGGTCATGAACAGAGCGAGTTCAAATGATTAGGGGTGACGAATCATCATTCCGGGCAACCTCGGAATATGATATTGATGGGATTTTCATGAAATTCTGTAGAATATACCGTTTTTCCAGTGTCCAGCCTCAGGAATACAGGTACCGATATAAAAAGAAACAAAGTTAACCTTCAAGTGACCTTCAAGATTAAATCCAAAATCACCAATCATGGTCCCGAACATCCTTAAAAACTTTTGTAGAGACCATCAAGGTCGATTTCTGTCGTCGACCTTCAAATGACCTTGAATGTCAAGGTCAAATCCAAGGTTATGATTCAGTACCTTGACGGAAATCCCATCGACTTTGGGGGGCAAACATCTTACTTCGAGGTTGCTTCAGGAGTAACGAATCATTTGAACTCGCTGTGACCTTGATGTTGATCGCAAGGTCAAAGTTGAGATCACATCCGTATGTAAAATTTGCTGCCGAATTCATTCTCATCGTAAAAATAGAGCGTCCCGTTGAAAATTATGAAGTTGACTTTCAGTTATCCTTCAAGGTCAGGGCTAAGGTCAAATTCAACCGCTTCTCTCCATTGAAAAATTTTAAATTTTGAAAAATTATATGAATTTAAAAAATATGGAAGAGTATAAATCACTAAATAAAAGTTGTTGCTTTTTATCATTTTTAAATGTGTGGTTTAAATTTTTATACTTATTTTTGCAACATCTTGTATTTCCAGATGAGTTGAGTTGAGCAACTTAGCCCAATAATTTGATACATTTAAGAATCTGCTTCCAGGTTTCCGCGTCCAATTCGAAACACTGTAATTAAAGCAAACATATTCTCCTAATAGGAAACGACATTTCTCATGAGCCAATAGAATAAAATTCAGCCGAGTTTCCATCCATCGTATAAAATTGCTTCAGGGAGAAACACTAGAATGTTCAAATATTTGTTCAGATAATTAAACACAAAACTATGTACCAGTCTTTCTAGCAGTCTTATATGTACGTTGCGAAAGTTTATACGACCTCATCATTTTCTATTTATTTCTCTATATTTTGTTAGATTTCGACTGATAAGTAATTTAAAATTATGCCTATACAAGGTGTCTCATAATTAGCTGCCAACCCTGAATAGGCCGATTCTATGATCAAAACTAAGTAAAAAAGTCCATATGAACATGGGTCCGGAAATGCTTCCTAAGGGCACAGGGACCCATTGAAGAGGGAGGAATGGAAAT